GGGGCACACCTACCTCCGGCTGCGCGGGGGCACATAACACACCAGGGTTTTTTTGCAGGGAGAGATGCTGGAAGGTGTGTGCTGGGATGAGGAGGGGGTCAATAAATAAACCATTAATTAAACCCAGGTGCAACGAAGGCTCTGTCCAACAGCACACACCCCGCCAGGACCAGCTCCGAGCTGCTCCCGTGGCAGCAGAGGTTTCCCAGCCGTGGAAGGGGCTCTCGGGGTACCCAGCCCATGGGGATGCTCACTTCGCCCCGGAGACACCAAATCCCTCCAGTTCTCTGGATAAACTGAGGCTGGATCCTCCTTGACTTCAGGCAAAAGCATCTCATCCTCCAGCAGGGAAGCAGCCCATTATCCCGGATTCCACCCAACGTACCTGGGGATTATCACTGATTCTTCCCCCAAAGGCTCCTGCCAGTGGGACTCCACACCTCCACCCCTGTACACGATGCAGGCATCCCAGGCCAGCAGGAGGGCCAGCTTTTGGCTGCCTTCCCCACAGCAAACACCACAAAACTCAACTTTTTCCCACGGGGGACAGCAGGTCCCACCTGGCCCTAGCGCTGGAAGAGCCCGGGGAGAGGCGGCGGCGGCTCCCATCCCATTTAGGACAGCTGACTCGCGCTTCAGCCCCTATAACACCTCATCCCTGCCTGGCTGCCTCTTTCCCCACAAAACCTGCCCGAGCTGAGCCTCTCCGAGGCCTCCCGTTGCCTGGCCAAATTGGGAAGAAATAGGTCAAGAGGTTCAAAAAAGTTTGGCGAGGATCCACGGGTCCAAGGAGGAGACATCCATGGGTCTTTCTAAAAGTGTAAGCCTGGGCCTCTCGAAAACCAAACAGTGCAATGGAAAATCCTGGCCAGGGTATTTTTAAACTACCTTCTTCTACCAGGTATTTCGTTTTACGAGGGTGTACTTTTTAATTACGCCCAGCAGTGCCCGGACGCTCCAGCTGCCGGAGCCAAAAGCAGCGCGCCGGCCGCCTGCCGCACGGGGGGGAGCGGGCTGACCCAGCCTGCGATGGGAACCGCTGCCCAAAAATACCCCAGGGATTTTCCACCTGGACGGGATCAAAGCTTTGCATGGGGTTTTAACCTCCAAGGAGCAAAAAGCCACCCTAAAAATAACATTAAACCAAGAATTTTGCAAGGAAGGGGCAGAAAGAAGTTCTATAAAGAGAGTCTGTGTCCTCCCTCTTCCCTCCATTCCTTTTGGAGGGTAGAAAGAGGTTGGGAAGGGATGAAAAAATGTTTAAAAAAAAAGATTTTTTACACTAACCTCATAAAAATGACATCGTCACATTCCAGAATTAGAGCTATTAAAACAACACACACACACGGATATTTTTAGATGGATATTAACGGTAAATGATGCCATATTGAGAAGCACTTCCACCCAGCCCAGCCCCGGTCTTGCTTAACCAGAACCAAATGGCTCAAAGAGATCAAAATTAACAAAAATGACACCAAAAAAAGTGGGGGGAAAAAAAGAAAAAAAAAAAAAAAAAAGTCCTTTTTACAACCATCCCTGGGCTGCTCTCGGCCCCAGCTGTTTTCCCTCTCGCTGCACACACGAGTGCTTCTGGACTTTATTCCTCCACTCTTGACTCTTCAATCCTCGCAGGCGAGGGGTTAAACCCATTTCCACTAACGAAGAACACAAGGAACAAGCTCCTGACAATCCCAGCCCATGGAAAAAAAGAAAAACCAAAAAAAGAAAAGAAAAAAGGAAAAAAAAAAAAAAAACCCTCCCGCATTTGTACTCAGTAAAATATGAAATATAAATCAAGGAACCTAATAGAGAGATGAGTTTCACTTAAGTGCTCCGGTCTCATTTTTATCTTAAATACCCTAATAATAGCGGATTACACAATATATTTGAGATGTGATCACATGTTTTATGGAACGGTATCTTTCCTATGGCAGAGAAGAGCCTCTCCTCCCCCCATCCACACCCTCCTTTAACTACCAAAAAAGTCCAATTTGCTGCTTTTTTTTTAAAAACACATCTTATTTTTGTTTAATAACTTAGTATTTCTTTGACGTGTGTCTGCAATAAACCGAAAGGTTTTGGGTTTTTTTGCATAATAAAAAAATACCAAACAACACTGGAGCGGCTGGGTTTTCCAGATGGCTCCTTTTCCATGGGACTGCAAGTTGGAAAGAGCTACCGTGTGGCTGCCGGGCTTGGGGACTTTCCCCATGATTCCCCCAGGACATCCCTGCTCCGAGCATCTCTGCACTGGGGCCCCACCACCCCCTGCACCCCAAAACCGCAACAACCCCCGAGACGCAGCCTCTCTGCACCCCACGGCTTTAAACCCCAGCTCCGGGACGAGACTGGGAAACTTGGGATTTTTTGCAGGAATTCAAGGAAACCCTAGAGAGAACCAAATCCCCGGAGAGCAGCCCCCATTTGGCACGGCAGCCCCGTGCAATGCCCACCCATGGGTCTCCCTTGCCCCTTCTCCCACCACTCCCGTGGGGTGCAGCCCTGCATCCCGATACCCGAGTCGGAGCATCCCCCATCCTCTCTCATTGCAGGGATGCGACACCCCCATCACCCCGCTGCCCCCGTTTCCTGCCCAGCCTTCCTCCGCCGAGCATTACCGGGGAGCCTGGGGAGCCCCCGGCCGGCGGGCAGCCCTCCCATGCCCCCGGCCGACCTCTCCCCTCCGCCAACCCCGGCACAATGCGGGCGCGCGCTATTCAAGCTTTTCAGCCGAATCCCGCCATTGAAATCCAGGGATTTAACCCGAACGCTGTCCTCTGGGCTGGGGGGAGAGGGAGGGAGGGAGAGGAGGGGAGATGCCCTTTCCCCATCCCATCCCACCAGGCTCCTGCTCTCCCTCCAGGCTCTCCGGACCACGGGATGCTCCGAAGTTGCATGGATCTGACAGACCGACCCGGCACAGCTGAGGATGGCGACAGAAAGCTCCGCTCTGCAGTGGGGCAGAGCCGGTGCCGTGGCTGGCAACCCCTGTCCTGGCAAAGCCAGGCTGGTGCAGCCGGATACCCACATCCTCCTGCTCCAGGGACTCCCCAGAGGCCCCAAAACAGCCTTGGGGGGGGTTCCCGAGCACCCCCCAATACACACACCTCCCCACCAGCTCCCACTGGGAGTGCTCGCCTCCGGGCAGCATCCTCAGAGAGGAGTTTTAACCCAAGAAGTCCCCGCAGCCCTAACAAGCCCCAGGGCTGTCTGGGTTCACCCCTTCAAAAGAGCGAAAGCAGAGAGACTGTGGGCACTGAAAAAAGGTGAAAACCAGCTCATTTCACCAAAAAGTGCAAAACCAGCCAAAAACGAGGGCAGAGCACGCGCCCCCGGAGAGCTGCATCACCCAAGCAAACCCCTACGGACGTGGAGTTTTAAGCCACTGGTGGCCCCTCAAGCCTAGGTGGGGTGGTTGAGTGGTGGGTTCCCACCCCTCCAGGCTTCCTAACATCTATTTCTTGGGGATTTCGTATCGTTAAATAAGAATAAGGATCGAGCGCCGACATTTTGGGAGCTGTGGCAGAGCCGGGACGGAGGAGCTGTCAGATGGGAACAGCTCAGCGATCCGGGAGCCTGCCTGCAACAAGGGGCAAATGCTGGATGCTGCCGAGGATGGTGTAAAGCCTTCATGAAGCACCTAATTGTGCAAAACTCTATATATGGGGACATTTATTCCTGACCCCAGCTGGTGCTCAGTCTGTTCCCTGAAGCATGAAGATTGATAGTCCTCGGGATGGGGTTGGTTTTTTTTTTTTTTTTCCTCCCCCCAAGCTGCTGTCATTGCAGATGTCATTTGTTTTTGGAAGTTTACCAAACCCTCTGCCTTAATAATTCCACGTGCAGGCGAGTTTCCCAAGGTAATTACACCGGGAATCCGAAAGAAGAAATGCAAAAGGGTGAAATTAAACATCAGCCATGCCTTGGGCAGGGCAGGATTTACCGGGTGAGTTCAGGGAGCAGCATCCATGGGGATGAGCCAACAGCAGCAGCGCTCCACACTGCAAAATCCTCTTTTTTTCCTCGTTTTCCAGAGGAGATCACCCTGCTTCACAACCATGCTGCCCACCCTCCAACCTGCGCCGTTTTGGCCGTGCAGGATCCAGCATCTCCCGTTCACCCCTGGCTCCGGTTGCCGCTCAGTGAAATTCGGGGCCGTCCCCGGCGCGGGGAGGGGGGCGAGCGGCGGCTCCTTCGGCAGGGGTGACTCGCAGCAGCATTACACGCATGATTACCCTTCAGATCGGGGAACAGGGGCTTAACTGCGTGAGAAACGGCTGTTATTCAGGTAATGGATTTACAGCACTCACTACTAAAGTATCAGACACAGCAATTTTTTACAGCTTTCACGCTGGAATTTATGGCTCAGGGAGGCGATCTCCATACGAGGCAGGGATCATTGCCTTATTTAGTATCCGAGGAGGAAAATTTATGTTTTCTCCAAAGTTTGTTTTGAAAGGTAACCTGCAGGCACGCACACACGTTTCCCCCCCTCCCCACAGCTGCCCGGGCGTGCACGGTGCAAGGGGAGACGTGGGCGCCGCAGCTCCCGTGCACGGGCTCCCCGCGGTGCACACACGTGTGCTCAAGGGCAGAGCTGCTGCGTGCACACGTCCCGGTCACACGTGTTTTCGGCCACGTGTGTGAGGTTCATTCTTCAGCTGAAGGCACCAGGAACCCCGGAGAATGGGGGCCTACCTCTGATCACCCCCCTGGATAACCAAGTACAGACTCAGAGAAAACCTGCTCCTTATCTTACAGCCAACAGGTCTTTACTCTGCTCTCAGAGCCCTCCTCTTCCTGCACCACCTTCCCCGCACCGATGGGGAACCGACCCCACCGGCGCAGGCAGGACCTCCCCCCAAAACACAGCCCTCTCCGGGGCAGCAGGCGCCAGCCCACGAGCCGCACCGATGGATGGGCTCCATCTCCTGAGGGATGTGCACCCCAAAGGACAGGCACCTGCTTTTTGGGGCAGCACTTGCACCCCTGCTTCAACAGGGATGAGTGGCCCGTCTCCTGGGCCAGCCCTGGGGACGAGGGGAGGGTAAAACCGGGTATTGCCCCCAAATCAAATCCTCGAAGGAGCTGCTTCCATGTTGCCTTGTGCAAGGCAGGGAAGAGAAGGAAGCGGGGTGTCCCTCCTACCTGCTGCTGCTGGAAGTGCAGGAGCTCCACGGGGCTCATCTCGCCGTTGGTCTCCCCACCGGCGGCTCCTTCACGCCCGCCGCCCCCTCCACCGCCGCCTGCGCCGCCCCCGCCACCATCGGGCTGGTTGCTGAGGCTGCTGACCCCGTTTTGGCTGGAGGGAGTGGACCGTATCGTCTCCGAGGCAGATTCAACCATCATGACTTGCTAGCAGGACCTGAGGAGGAGGAGAAGAGAGCAGAGGCTGAGAAGAAAGTCCGAAACCCCTGGTTGGCATCCCCACCTCCGCCAGCCCCGTGCCCCATCCTTGTCCTGCCCCACCTCTGATCCCTGCAAGGTCCGGCAGGGAGATGCAGGAGGGGATGGCAAACCCCAGCCAGTTTTAGCTGTGGTCAATTTACTCCAAAAAATAAACGTGCAGCAGCGTGAGCTGCCATGAACACGCTGACGGCCCTTGTACAGCACTGGGGCAAAGCAAGTGCAACCTGTCCCTTAGGAAAACACCATGCTTTCAGCTTTCTCCCAGCCTGATGCAAGACATAAAACCCCAGGAATCCAGGCATTTTTCACAGAATTCCAAAATATTTCACTTTGAGATGCTGGAGACAGCAAAGCTGAAGCCCCAGCGAGGCTGCACACCAAGCACGCGGAGCCTGCGCCACATATTTCACCGTGAAAAGCTCAACAAAGTTGACACGTTTCCACCAAGCACTTCAGCTCCCAGCAAACCAGCACTTCACAGCAGGAAAAAACACCCAGCAGAAAGTTTGCCGCCAGGTCAAGGAAGCCCAAAGGTACCACGGAGCTGGGACGCGGCAAAGTGAGAGCACGGCGGCGCTCCAGACACCAGCTGGAAAATCTTGCCTTTCTCCCAGACGCCTCCGTGCACCCCCTCCTCCTGCCGTACCCCTCGGGTTCCCTCAAGGGGCCGAGCCAGGCGCTTTGCCCTTCAACCCAGGGTGCAGGGGCTACAACACCCACTGCATTTTCAGCCCCGCAAAAGCCCCCAGTGGCCGCGTTTTGCAGCTCTTGCGCTTCATTTCATGCAATTCCAGGCTTCCCTCTGCGAGGCAACAGGGCAACACTTTGCTTCTGTGGATGGGTTTTATCCCTGTAACCTCTCCCTGCCCATCGCCCTGTTACGCCCAGGACACGAGGGCAGAACTCCCCGGGATCCAGCTGCAGGGTTCGCCTTGGCAAGGGTGCCCGTGCACGCTGCAGCGATCCCGGGAGCAGAGCTGTGGGATGCTGGCAGCCTCAGGGCAGTGTCCGGAGCTCCGTTCGGCCAGTACAAGCCCCCAAGCCACCACGCCAAGCTGGGGGAAACCACCGGGCAAGCTGCAGGCTGGAAAAGCTGCTTGCACCTCAATGCACGGCCAGCTGCACAAGAGCTGGGTGTTAAGTGCATCCCTTACTCCCCTGGTCTTAAATGCTATTTAAATTAAGGCAGATGGGATAGGGGAGGGACTCCCCGGGAGTTACAGGGCTTGGCTTCAAAGCAATGAGACAAAGTCTTTGCTCCGTTGGGTTTGAGTAGCGGGCAGGCTGTTAGTTGTGAACCCGAGGGTCCCCGTTCTGGGGGAAACTCCTGGATCTGGGCTGGCACCGGAGAAGAAGCCACCACCGCAGCCAGCACCAAACCCTGCCGCTCCAGCTAGCAAACACCAAGCCCCCCGGGGCCACATCCAGCCCTGACATGCACGGAGCGGGACGCGGGCGCGGGAAGCCCCACCGGAGCCGAGTGCATCTCCCCCCTTCCCAACAGATGCTTTGCTCTGCGGAAAAGCAGAGGACACCGGGGTTCATCTCATCCACGCCAGCTCCTTCCCCACCGGCGGGTGCCAGAGCGGGATCGGCGTTTGCCCACCGCCACGTGCAGCCGGCCAGCGAGTTTGAAACAGGAGGGGAATAAAGAGAAAGGGACAGGGAGAAGAAATACTGTTTCTCCCTTTTTCTTCTCTTCAACCCCCCCCTCCGTCTTCACCCCCCGCCCCAAAAGACAGAAAGACAAACCGCGAACAACATAATTGCTGAAATGTGGCGTGTAATAATAGCTATTCAGAAGCTGATCATTCATATTAAACAGGGTGAAGCAAGCTTCTCATTTGCATGTTTGAGATTATATGCATTTCAAAAGTCATTTCCGCAGGGTACATGACTGACATTAATTCCCATGTGGAGCTGCCGGCTCCCTCCTGCCGTCCTGGCACTACCAAACCCGCGCGGGGTGACACACCGGTGGCGGTGGGAGAGTTCAAGGTTAACGGGATTACTGGGCTTTGGTTTTGTGGGAAGCGCGGGAGCCGGGGTGCTGGGATGAGAGCGCAGTGCGGTCGGAGCAGCTTCCCGAGGAGGGATCAGGAAAGGACGGGATGCTCGCCTACGGATGCTGCGTTAGGAGCAAAAAAGCTGGAAGAAAACCCCTTTCACCTTCAAAAACTACATCTGCTCCTTACCCCCCCCCTCCCGCCAGACGTCAAACAAGAGCCTGCAGAAATATTAAATTATTGCTGTTACTTTTCTCATTTTCCTTCCGAAACTCCGCCGCCTGCTCCGTGTTTCGGCCAGGTGAGTGGCCCCATGGGGAAAGCCGAACTCTGCCTGTGTCCGGCAGTCACAAGGCATCACCACGGCCAGAAACTCGGCAGGATTCAAAAAGGGATTTGACTTTTATATGGAGAACAAGAATATCCAGAGTTACAACAGGAAGTATTAAAAAAGGGAAAAAAAAAAAAAAAAAAAAAAAAAGGGTTTGGAAAGGATATAAAACTTTCCTGGCTTCGGGGCATAAATTGAAGCTTAACTATTGGGAATTAGGAAATCTCTTCTGGTGGAGGAGCTGTAACCGTGGGCTTGCTCTGCCGGCCCCGGCCCCTGCCAGAGGGAGAATGCTGGAGCAGATGAACCGGCGCTGGGGTCCAGCCGGGTGATTCCCGCAGCCCGGGACACCAGGCCAGTTGGGTTCCCTCTCCAAGTCTAGTAAAACTCGACTTCCCGTTTGCAAACCCTACTGGGATGCTGGTGTGTTGTCTGGGTTCCCAACACTACAAGGGAAGTAATAAAAGAAAGTAATAATAATAATGAAAATATTTCCATTCATATAAAAGTTTTACAAAACCTTAAAGAAAAAAAAAAAAACCAACCCAAAGCCAGTGTCTGCAATGTTACAACGTCGATTTAAATTAGGAATGAGAGCCTTTCCAGCCAGGGCTGAGCCGGGACGGCTTGAAGCTGTGTTGGGAAGAGCAAAACCCAGCTGCAGGACCGGCTGCGAGTGCCGGAGCACACGTGCATCCCTGCACACAGACAGGAGAGCTCTGCAGCATCCCGGCTCCGGCTTTTCATCTATTTTAGTTCAAACACATCCAATATTTTAGGGATTCTCCACACACTGGTATCCAGAGGGGTCTAATCAGGATCAGACCTTCCCCCAGGCATAAAGGCAGGGACCCTGTCCAGGCAGTCATCGCAGAAGATGCAACACCCAGATAAAGTAGAAAATGAAGTAGAAAAGGATGGGTTTACTTAAAAGGGGAGGGGAGGAGACCCCTCTGATGGCAAAGAGCAACAGAAGCTTCGATTGCTAATTACCATTTCAGACTCAAAATCACTGCACAGAATAAGCACTCTGCCTTTTTTTTTCTCCCCCTTTTACTTAAATGCGCACCTTTCACAGGACAAAGAAAAGGAACCGGAGAATTACAAATGCAGTAAAGAATCCCCCTGCCTTCAGCAGTACCATATGGCAATAAGAGTATATTAATTACCGTCGCTTTTTAATTAACAATTGCTTCATCTGAGCAGCAACATTTCCTTGACATCCCCTGACTCGCCACTAACCTGTAAAGTGCACGCGCCATGCCAAGTCATCAATTCATTTTTATTGACGTTCCCCCCCCCCAAAACAGGCACGATACCAGGGTTTTCCAATTAACACCTCCACACTCTCTAATTAGCACAATTAACAGCCTGATGGATGCCCGGAGCTTCCCTGTGAGGGAGGGCGCGGAGGGGCTGGCCGGGCTGTCGGACAGGGCTCCCGCCGCGTGCACGTGGGCTCCACACGCGTGTGCCACGCTCCCCAGGGTCCCGTGGGAGCACCACGTGTGTGCCGTGCCACGGAGCCTGGCATCGCCCACAGAGCCCGGCATCGCCCACGGAGCCCGGCATCGCCCTTTCCGAGCCCCAGCAGAAAGGGGAGGACGAACGCAGCGGCGAGTGAGCCGGTGGACTCACAGCAAAGATTTGCGCCAAAGGACGCGGGGTCTTTAGGAGCAGAAATAGGAGACAAAAGCATTTACAGAGCCGTTTCTCCCCAAAAGCTCCCAGCAAATTTTGGGGCATCCAAACCCACCCAAAGCGATGCCGCTTCTCCACCCGATTCAGCTCCACGGACGTGAAAATTAATAGCACTCAGCCCCCGGGACCCGCAGAAACAGGTACAGCCAAGACCACGAGCTCCTACGAAGCAATTGCCTGAACGCCTATTTTAGCCGCTTCTCCTATTTTTAAATATCCTCAATACCGCCGTCCTCAGGGGCTCCGTAACTTTGGGCTGCCCTTCGCGGGCTGCTGGCAGGGCCAGGGCCGCATACGGACCCAGCATCACGGGTGCCTCCTCCCCACTGCCAGCGGGTCCCTGTCCTCGGGTCCCTGTCCCCAGCCCCACGCCGATGGCAGCGGGTCCCTGTCCTCGGGCCCCTGTCCCCAGCCCCACGCC